CATACACGCAGCAGCTGCCTGGCCCGAGGGCGCGCATCCAACCCCGACACCTCCAGCGCTCTGTGCTGCCAGCCCCAGCCCCCCCTTTTTGCTGCCAGCCATGAATCCTGCCACAATACTCGTGACTTTGCGGAACGAAACTTCTCTCCAGCCCTAAAAACGTGTCTGGGTGAGCTGCAGCACAGCTTGGGTGATGAAGAGGAGCTTCCCGATTTGATTTAGCACCGTTATTAAGAGCGTGAAATCTTCGTATACATCACTAATGATGATGTATTTTAACATTAAAAGTCTTAAAATTAAATTACTCGATTCACATGACAACGAATCACAACAAGGCTTTAAACAAAGCAGAATTAGAACAGACACTAAGCTCATTAATTTTTTTGATTTCTTAATTGACAGCACTCATGTAGGGATAGCTATAGGCTTAGCAATATACTTGAGACTGAGGCTGCTGCTGCCTGTATAAAACATGTGCAGGAAGAAGTATGGATAAAAGAGAAATCACCCCGTTTTTCATGGAGGTAAGATGGCTTTGACATAGTTACGTTGCTGACACAAATTACACAACCACAAAAACAATCAGAGTAATGATGAAATGCAGTTATGTACATGGGAGACTACTAGTGCAAACGTTAACACATTTAAATGGGTTCCCTTCATTAAAAAAAATTATATATGATATTAAACCATCAATCAAATCGAAACACTAGAGTCTCAACGTATTGTCACTGGTTGAAATAAATGACTTTGAGACTGAATTTTGGCTCACTCAATATGGTGCCTTTTCTGTTGCTTAGCCACCCAAGTCTCTGCTGGCTTGGGCTACAGCTGGTATATCTCCATCCCTTTCAATTAATAAAGAAAGTTATGATAGTATTGGATAACATTTTTAAATTGTGCTAAGAGGCTTGAAAACAGATGTCCCAATGAAAACGCCTCTCACTGCTGTCCTCAAACCTTTCAAGGTTTCAAAAATGGAGCATTCTGGTCCTGGTTCAGCTGAGCCTTTAAACACACGAAATTTTAAGCACAGGAACAATCACACCTGTGGGCTTGATCTGTTCTCAAAATGAAGCATATGCTCACATATATGGCTTGTGGTGCTCAGGTGCTCAACACCTTGCACAGCTGCCCTTTGTTGGTACAATTCAGATTTCTTTTTGTGATGTGCTTGTGTGCAAGGGCTTCCACATGTGTGATAAACACATCTTCTCTTCAGGCTTTTATTTAAATAACCGTGTGTTACTCCACAGTAGCTGTATGTGGCACTAAGGTTTACCTAAAAACCAAAAAACACCACTGATTTTACTATGTAAAAGGGAAAAAAAAAAGTAAAGTAGCCATTTATATTATGTTTGTATTTTAGTAACACCATTTTTCACTGCAACTGGTGCCTGGGCTTTCTGTTTGACCCCCCCAAGCAGCACTGCTGTGTGCTTTGGGTAGTGCCTCTTTGCTACTTGCTGCAGCTCCAGGTCCCAAGTGCCCAGCTCCCCTGAGCAGCCTGCTGAGGTTGTACCTGTCCCACACACCCTCCTGTCACCACAATACTGCCCAGCCTTCCTCCATCCACGCTCCCTTCTCCAGCACTCCCCACACTCCCCACCACCCACGCCTCCAAGTTCTTTGTTGACCCACCACCCCACGGACCTGCTGCAACACTCCTTTCCTACAGGCCCCTTCCCAGTGCCCGTGCTCCACAACATTCCTCATTTCAAGGCTGGTCACACACACAGAGCTCTGCCTATTGTGCCTGGTTCTTAGGAACGTTCGTCAGAACTACAGGTGAAAGGTGCTACAAGAGATGGATTTTTGGAAAGAACCAACATGAATAGTACTTTACCATACCAAAATGGAACTAACAGCCTAATGGGTACAATTCAGCAAGATAAGCTTTAATGGAAGATAACGGTGGCTTCTTAAAACCAAAAATTTACACTTCCAGTTATAAAGTGGAGCAAACACCAGCTTCACCTGTTAATCCCAGAATAACAGCATCGCAAAGTAGGAGCCTTTTACAAGTATTTATTGAAGGTCATATAACACAATATAATGTAACAGCAATAGCTGAAGGTAATAAACTTAATACCACTTTCCATCCCTGTATCTCAAATTACTTGACACGTTAATTCAGTTTAGTTGCAAGGCACCATCACGAAGAAGTTGTTTGCAGATTAAGCTCAGACTAAGTAACTCGCCTGGGGGAACAGAGCCTGTGGCACAGCAAAAAGTAGGGCCAGAGCCAACAGCCACTCTCACACTTTAAAAGGATGCTGTAACTTGCTCTCAAACATTAAGAAGCTGTTTCATGTCCACGCTTTCTGGTGCTCCTGCCTTTGCACAGTCACACACACTTACTAAAACCCAGAGCTGCTGGGTGATGGGTGCGAGCGGACAAAGGAAGAATTAAGAGGGTTTAATTCTACAACTAAACTACTCTAGATGCTAAAGAAGATGTGAGCCCCAGCCGCGATGGATACACCTCGTTACTGATGGCACTGGGACACCCAACCGCCTCGTTTGGCACAGCAGCCAGGAACCCTCCTGTGGCCCTTCCACGGGGAGGTATGATGGGTGGGATGGGTGGAGGAGCTGGAGGTGCGGGGCTTCCTCACCAGGGCTGGGGCTGGAGGAACCCGTGCAGTCCCCACTGGTCCCCATCCTGGCCCCCCCCGGTGAAGAGACCAGAGATACTCCCTGTCTTTTGGGGAGAGAATGAACATCCCGTTGGTCCTTGAGCCCACAGAGACGGGCTGTACCTCAAGTGCTGCTGGAAATTTTCATGACCCAACTACTTCCAGAGACACAACTTGGAAGAAATTTCCTAACTAGTAAATAATTGCAGTTATCATTGCATCAGTTTAGTTTAAAGAGCTGACAAACCTCTCTCAACTCAAAGCACAATTAGTCATTAGGGTCTAGTTTTTCAGCGCTGTTAAGCAATTTGTAACCCATTCCTTTTAATAGGGTTATGCATTACTGAACCGACACAGATGTCTTGAAAACTGAAACCGCTGGTTACGAAGCAGCAACCTTGTTCATCAGCTTCCCTGATAGCCAAATCATCTGTAAACCCAGTGTTTAATGGCCAGCCGATGAATAATCAATGTCTCACTTTTCATCTGAGTGTGAAAGTGAGAATAATCTAATACACCGTCCCCCCGGTGAAGCGCGAGGCCTTGGGTTCCGTTTCTATTCAGGGCTGATTTATAACCCAGTGGAAACTTGATGTAAACATATGATCAATGAGTCCCATCATTGCTGATAATAACCCCCAACCGGCCCACTCCCTCATCTCAAAAGCCATCCCTTTAGGCTATTAGTTTCGTCCAGCTAATCCTCTCTACTGTTCCTGCCTGCTGCTTTTACCTTGGCCATCCGTTCAGTCCAGCAGACTCAGAAGTAATTTTATACGCAGCAGAGAGCGGGTGGAATTGATTTTTCACTCAGTGCTCAGTTCCCATCTGAATAATTATCAATTTTACAGCCTCATAAAGGGAAGAGTCAAAATTTCAAATCAATTCAAAAGAGCTTCTGAGACTTCAGAAACTGTGCATGAGAATAAAGGTCAAAGTTGTCGGTGACCTCGGGAGATGATGTCAGGTATTAGTACACTGAGTAGTTGACATCAGAGGCACTCAATATGATATGACTAGTGCTAATGCAAATCATATTTATGCTGACTACTGGAGACCAGCCATTAATATTTAAAAGAGCATGTGAAAGCCTGCATTCAAAATAAATACAACGTATTCCGCAGAATCTGAAGTTAATAAAGACAGATCACTGCCTGCTCACGTGCTGTGAGGTGAAAGATTGCTGTGTTTGAACAGACAGAGCATGACATGGAGATTGCCACAAACACTGGCAAGCCCAGAGCCCAGGTTGCTGGTCTGTCCTCGATGTTCAAATCGCTGCCTGCACGGCGCAACACGGGCAACCTGACAGAGCCCAATAGCTTCCTTCAGAGCCCTACCAGGCAAGGAAAACATGAGAACTTGTACTATGAGAGGGGAATCGTCATATTCTGCTAATAATAAATACTAATAAACACCATTCATATTCTCACCAGGTGCTACACACTGCCAGGAATGTATTAGCTACCGCTCGTTACTTTTCACCTTCGCTTAGAACAGCCAACAAACTACAACAGGAACTGTGTGACAGGATTTTTCTTCCAAATGACAGTGCACCTATTAGGGAAACACAAAGGTGACCACACTAGTCATTTGCATTTTGTTAATAACTTCCATTTTCATTAAAAGCCTCCAGACCTGTGAAACACGTTTCCTGAAACAGCATCTTTGCAACTGCATTAGGAAGCCAGAGATTCTTGTAAATAGGCACTTCCAGAGAGTTTAATGAGATTGAAAGGGAATTGTGGCAGAGAGCAAATGTGGAGATATGTAGCTATGAACATCCTGATCTCCCGTAATGTGCTTGGGCTGTGAGAGCCCTGGTGGAGCTGGGGAGGGGAAATCTCCCCTAAGCACTGCAGAGGCCACTTCCTTTTCAGAAGGATGAGATTTAATTTCTATTGTATTTACCTTGAACAGAAAAAAATCCCACTGAGTCACCTAATGCAGAATAAAATATTCCAACTTCATAGCATACGTGGCCATTCAATATACACATTTCATTACCAAAATGTGTGGTTCAATGCCAGACCTTGTTCTTCTTTCTCCTAAGATGCTTCAGAGAGCTTTTCTTCCCATTTGCCTAGAGAAATGTGTTGATGATTTCACACACCCTTTATGGGCAAAAAGGAAATACCAAGTGTGAGGGCACCCTACAGCCAAATGCAGTATCCATGCTTTTCAGTGTGACAAAAAATACCTTCAGCCTTGGTTGTCACGAGTCTGTAGCTACTCAGGGTTGCACAACAGTGTAGGGAGGGTGGTCCTGTTACTAAACAGCCAGCACCACCCTGGTGTTCAGCACTGAAAATGAGGAAAATTCAGAAATGTACTAATACCCCACAGAAAAGACTAATTCACCTGCTGTAGGACTTCTGGGTTCTGCTGCATGAAATGAAGCAATCTCTGTCCATCCTCTGAAATCTCTCTGCATCTCAGAGTCTTCTTGCCTTCTTTAGCGAGGTGCTTGAAGAGGTAGGTGACAATGTAGTCCAAACTAGCACAGCAGCTGGAGGAGACAATTGTATCTGTGTAAGAAATGAAACTGTTTTGAAATTGTGGCCGGGAAAGAATAATTTGTAATGACACTTTCTAGCACTGGCAGAACTTGGCTGTAATAACCTCCCTCTGACTTTAGGCTAATGGAGACACTGAGAAGACTGTTTCTGATCCATGACCTGACCAGCTGTAAGGACTGCTTTTAATAAGACACAGCAGGATGAAACCTTCACTTTTGAGTAACGAGACAGCTCCACTCCTACAAGTCCTATGGACTCCAGGGAACTTCACACCCTCCTGTATGAAGGCCACTGCCCCTCCAAGTACTGGGAAGAGCAGGATAAGGGTAGAGGTTTTATTGATACTCAGTTTTACATTCAGAAGGCTCCAGGTACCTGGAAACTAAAGTTCTGTTTTGATCTGCTTACTGAAAAGGCAAGATGACATCAGTACAGCTGCTGTTCAGATTTATCTCAAGTTTCTCTGCCCCAAAGACCTTGCAATCACTGTCAGGCACCAAACAATGAACAAGGGCCATTAATGGTAGTGAAAGGATGATCACAGAACAGCCAGTTAGTCATTTTGCCTAACAACTAATAATTCAAGTAGGTTAAAATACATAAAATATGGCTGGCAACAGCAGTCACTAACAAAGACCTCATGAATGTTCCCAAAACCAAAGGTCATCAGAGCAAAGGAGGACACTGTTGAAAAGCAGAAGCAAACACAACTTCATAGCTTTACTTACTGCTTCTATAAGGAAAGGAGATTAAAAGTTTAAACCTATTTGCAGAGTAAATATGTCTGATTTCTGCCAGTGGTTCTGTTGCCTGGTGCTGCCTGCTGTGCAGGTGCTGTGCAAGGATCCTGCTCACTTCCCTACATCAGGGTGCTGGCCCTTGCTTCCCATGCACGTTCCTCTCTTCCTCTGGAACCCAGTGGTGCACCCTTCCTCCTGCCCAGCTGCTGCCTCCCAACTCTGCAGATACTCCCTGGCCCCAGGACCAGTGGCTGCTACTCAGACCTCTACAGCTCCAGTTCTGTAGCTCTGGCCAGAGCCACAGGTGCAAACCACTGCTGGCTCTTCCACACCAATAGAAGCTCCTGTACATATGCAGGGGTTTGACCAGCTGTGTGCAAGGTGTTCAGGGTGAGAGAGCTGGAGAAGAGCCTGGAGAAGAGAAGGCTCTGAGGAGACCTTAGAGCACCTTATAGTTCTTGAAGGGGCTACAGGAAAGCTGGGGAGGAACTTTTGACAAGGGCAGGGAGTGAGAGAACAAAGGGTAATGGATTAAAACTGGAAGAGGGGAGATGTAGGTGAGACATGAGGAAGAAATTCTTCCCTCTGAGAGTGGTGAGACCCTGGCCCAGGTTGCCCAGAGAAGCTGTGGCTGCCCCATCCCTGGCAGTGTTGAAGGGCAGGTTGGATGGGGCTTGGAGCAACCTGGGCTGGTGGGAGGTGTCCCTGCCCATGCAGGGGGGTTGGAACTGTATGATATTTAAGGTCCCTTCCAACCTGAACCATTCTGTGATGCTATGATTAGCCCTACGTGACCTGCTCCATGATTTCAAACACCAAATCCAACTGAGTGGAGCATTTGGGACTCCATCCTGTTGCCACTGACTTCAGCTAGAACTTGTCTAGGCCTTTTATAGTTTACAGTATTTATTTTAGATGGGCCACTGGAGTAAGGGATGTGTGGGGGTTGCAAAAGGAATTAAACTGTTAAAATGCTCATTCTGAGGGAAAAGGGATTAGAAGGATCCAATTAAATGTACCTTGAATTCTTTAAACTATGCTAATTTGGAGGCCTGCCAACCTTGCAGTGTTCATTTAAACACATCCCTCTAGACACTGAAGTATTTTGATCTGTGTCTGTTTAACTCCTTAAGCTCTGTGCTGACACTTAACTCTTTGCCACCTAAAAGCTACTTGTATTTTGCTAAGAGTGTTTCAAAGTAAATGCTGAAGAAACATTTACAGGCCAAGAAGAGACAAGTGGTCTCCCAAGACTTGATCTTCTGAAGCAACCAACTCACTCAGCAGCAGGAGCTGAGTGATTGAACAGCTCACAGCAAGGAGCTGGAGCAGCTCTGCTCTGCCTACACTGGACCAGTGGGCTTCCCAGGACTGTCCTCAGCAGGGCAGGAGCTTCAGACACGTGGCCTGAGCACGGCTGAGCTCACCCTCAGGAGCCTTGCCAAAGTCAAGACCACAGACCCTGGCACTCATCGTGCTCCCACCCAAACCAGTCCTGCACATCAAGTAGAAATGCAATTCATGGTAGAATTGAATCACCATCAGTAACAAGTGAGAGATTTGAAAATACATATTTCATAGGAGGGCTCTGCTGTATTTCTAAACCACTGCTTAACTCTATTTCTTTTTAAATTGAATAATACAAAGTAAATCACCATCATCAGTTTACAAAAGAGCAGTAGTTCTAAACATGCTGATACTGTACAAGTAGGTATTTTACATTCGACAGTAAGTGATTTTAGCAGGACAGCAGGCAGGTCTCTGCTATCATCTGCTCCTGAGAATCTGATATGAGTGTTAAGAGCTACTTAAATTTGCCCATAACTATATATCAAATCTGCTTCCCTATGCTCATTTTTCCTTCTGATGGCAAGGACAGTACAGACAGGGAGCGTCAAGCAAACTCCCTCGAATGGCTCTTCTGGGCATGAGGAACCTTGTGCTGGAGCAGAACAGTGTTCTCAGTAAATCTCAGTGAGACAAGCCAGCCAACCAAGTAAACAGCAGTAACAAGGAGCTACCAGTTCTGGGCTATGGGCCCAGAAATGGATGGAGAAGACAGAATAAAGACAGAATAATAAAAGAGACTGAGATGAAAGCTTGGGATGGTGAGGAAGAATGCAGAGGAACCACATTTCTCAATGCTGGTCAAGGCAGTTGTCACCTGTGAACTAATCAGGTGGCTCAGGAAGCAAGGAGGCCATGGTTACACAAACCCCAGACCAGTTCCAGGTGTGGCAGCACAGACCCAGGCTGAGCTCAGGAGTTTTCTCAAACAAAACTGAGCTCTCTGGGCTGGCCTGTTGGCAAAGAAGGTGCTGCTGGTGGGCTGGGGACAAGAAGGACTCTGGTGCCAGTCACCATCACGTTCAACCAGCTCCTCTCCTTTCAGCATGTATTCAGGTCATGTTTGGGGGGCTAACTTTACATGGCCTTCTTTATTACCTGTGTGTTTGTGCCCTAAGGAAGTTGAAAATGTATGTTGGAATGGGTTGTCTTATTTAAAGAAGGCAAGAAAAATCCCAAACAATTTCAGGATGCCATTTGGTCTTAAAAATATGACAACAGCATGCTGAAGGGGAATTATTTTTCAGCAGTTTAATGACGTAGTGGAATCTCTGCAAATTAAAAGATTTTGTTTTGTTTTGTTTTGTTTTCACATAAAGGCAAGGAGAGGCAGTTAAGTGGTATTTTCCTTGTCCATCAATTGCTTACAGTTCAATACTGGCATTATTTGCCTTTGAGACTGAACCTGGAAAGTAAATGGATTTAGCAATTTAACATCTAAATTAGGCAGCAAGACAGAAAAAATGTTTTACTTTTTCCTGAATGAATAGCATACTATACTATTAATCATATGAGAATTAGAAAAGCTTTGCAGAGATTAGTGACAACATGCCAGGCAGACTACATTAAAAGGCTCTGATCCACTGAGTCAGCTGTGAAAAAGCCAGGTAAACACTTTAGAAGAGAACTATTGGAGTGTTTATCCTCGCAATAAAAGCTGAGATGAGGGCTTCCATTATAGCTGATTTACAGGCAGGCACTTCCCAAGGAACACATCATCTTCCTCAGTGCTTCTGGAGTGTGGAACCAAACAAGGTATTTACTCAGCATCAGAAGGAACACTCCTCAGAAATAAGGACTTGGGGAATGTTTATCCTACAGCTGACAACAATGAGAGTCTCAGAGGTTTCACATACATACAGGGAACAGAGAAAAAAGTCAGATCTTTTTTTTTTCCTGTGAAAGAGAAGTGATCTCCTGGTATTTAATTTTTAAAATCAAAAAGACAGCTATTTCATTTTTATAAACATTTCTGAAAATGACTTGTATGTTCTAATCAGTTTAAAAACACAATTCCCCCTCAGATGGCTTATAGCCCTGAGCCCTACTATTCTGAGATGTTCTTGTGGCACTGATATAA